ACCTCCCTTGGAGCTCTGAGGACACGCTGGTAACAGCGGAGGTTGTGTCAAAAACAAACGAACAAACAAATAAACAAACCAAAAAACATTAGCAGGGTTCCAACACCTAGGCTGCACAACCAAGCCACAATAAACCCAGGACACTGAAGTTCAGACCTAGAGTTTGGAGAGGCTTAGTGTAGGGACATCAGGCAATCCAGGTGTTATGCAGAGACAACTAAAATATAGCCTCCTATCTGTCAAATTTTCTTAGCCAGACTGGTGAGACCTTTTTGTGATACCAATTGTTACTATCACTGTCTCTGTTGTTATCTTTGTTTTGCGTCTTGTCTTGTGTCTGGTCTTGATGTGTTGTGACTCAGGGCGAGTAAATTAAATGAAACAAATGACAAGCCTGATACACTGGCACTGCACTTGGAGAGTCACTCCTAAAACAGCAGAGCTTTGGGGGCATGGGATCCAATGGCAGTGTGTGTCAGGTACAGAATGCTTGGGCTGTGGGACAGGTTTGAAGGAAAGACCCCAGCCCTGTGAAGGAGCCTGCAGGTGACCCTGCTGCGCTGGTGCAGCCACACACCAATGTGCCTGTAACCCTGTAACCCCTTCTACTGCAGCTACCCAGGGCAGTTCTCCTTTGAAATTACAGCTTTGGAGAAGTAAGGAAAGTTTTGTCTGTCTGTTTTGTAAACATGCACAGTGGCTACTGCCTGTTTATTTCTGGCTAGTCTTGAGTATATGAAACTTGTGCTGTTTCTTCTGCCACCAGCTGCCCAGGCTCTGAAGTGAAAAACAAATGAGGAAAAAAAAAAAAAAAACAAAAAACGCAGAACAACTAAAGGGATTCTTGGCTTATAAGTTCATTGGGAATGGTTAAAATTCTGTGATATCTATAAGGAAAATTAATTTAAAACTCATAACACAGAGTTGATAGTTAAAAGTCTTTGCATAGGTAATCTTAAAGGAACCTGGTAGCATGATTCTATTTTGGGAGATAAGCAACACGACGTGGCTTGCCACCATCTTTAGGCAGCCATATGGCTTCCACCATCTTTGCTAGGGTTAGAGAGAGTGGATTTCATGTTGTAAGATCCCAGGAAGCTCAGGCCTCCAGGATCTTTTCCCAGGACCTCGGCCACCCCAATCACCATTCGGAGGTGGAAACTTGGTGCAAACAGCAAGAGGCTTTAATGAAAGGTGGGCATATGTACAAACGGGCTCTCTCAGCATGCTGGCTAGAGAGCAGCCCTGTCCCCCAGGCACAGGTGTTTTTAAGGCAAAAACCACAGCTTAGGGAGAGGCCTCGACTCTCTGTCCATTGAGTACGTGACCAGTCATGGGTTCCTAGGAGGCCCTTTGTCTTGAGGGGAGGGCTGGGAATCAGATAGCCTCCTGACCCACCAGTTGTAAAACCTGCAGGCCTCAGGATGTGCTAACTAATCTTGCCTGAGCAAGTTATCTCTTTGTTTCATTGGGACCCTTAATTGTTAATTATTGACACATTGCCCGGTGGGGCAATCTGTTTCCTTCATGAGCCCCTCGGGGAGGGAATTCTTGGTACCCAGTTATCTTATGGCCTTGTAAGGGAATAATTGCTGGCGGCTGGTAAATTCCAGGCACTAAGTCATAGTAGTGGCCTTAGTCAGTTTCTAGGTTAGGCCGCCCTACATTCCCTTTGGAGAGTTTCCTTATCTGGGCTATATTTCTTTGCTAATTTTTAAGTCTTTTAATGTGACTTCACCACCATCATTGGGCAGCCACAGCTATGAGCAGCAAACTTAAATACTCCAGACACTTGGGTATTCCTATCTTATGATGAAGCAAAACAGTGACCTAAAGGTCCTTACCTAAGGTCTATTCGGGTTAACAGAGACTGATTCAATAATGTATGTCTAACCTCCTTGTTTTTGCTAACTTTGTTAAACTATGGCTATTTTGGTAAACTGAGTCATACAAAAAACTGTTATATTCTATAATGATACACCATGGACCAGGAAAATAAAGGTGCCAATCTCCCTATGGACTGTATTTATGAAAAGACCTTTCAAAACTGTTAAAGGGGATTACACTTTAATGTTAGAACAATACCTGTAGACATGCTAAGTACTAATGGAATTAAGTACAGGAAAAAGCTTTACTTAGCCTCCTGTATACGTTTTCAAGGTATAGCCTAAAGTAAGTAACTGAAAACAAAGCAAGGCCTGTTTAACTCAGATATACTTAATAGATAATGGTCCTCACACTTGTCAGAGATCTGCTGAATATGGCATGCAGATCCGCTGAATATGTTTAAGCTTACTACAACAGAGACCCCAGCTCCTAGTAGTAGTGATCCTCCAGGTCTCCAAGAAGATAATGAGACACAGCAACTCTACCTGGAAGGTGGTAATGCTAACCACTGGGCAAAACCATGCCACATGCCTCACCTGCCACCAAGACTCAAACCAAATTGTGGACAATCAGGACACTGGAGAGCTGATTGCCCCACTTTGTCTAGACCAAGTAAAGTCAGCCCACCATGTTCTACCTCCACAGGAAGGCCTCTCACCTCCTGGGCCTGGCAGCTGAACACTGATGCTGTCCTGATATCTCTGCTCCCAATGCCATAGAGACCACAGGAGCTGGGATGACCGTCTATGTCATGGAGTAGTGTCTGTCATTTTAATTGATACACAGATCATTTGCATTATATTTTCTGCTGTAACTTATCCTCCTCAGCTCTCTGGTGACATTGACAAGAAGGCTAGCTGTAGCTTTGTCAGCTTGGCGGCAGCAACAGGCAGACAGCTCTATCCCACAAGGCTGCAGACACTTTGTTAGTTCGTCTAAAGCCACTAGGTCCTTGTTGAGAAAAGGCAGGCAGGGTTGCCTTGCCAACAGGCTTCACATTAAAGGACAAACAGGTTTCAGGTGTAACTTTCTACTAAAGGAACATGATTTTCAATGACTGGTCTCGGTAATAGCTACTCATGTCTCTGGTAAATGATAAGATGGTGGGAAAAGGGGTTAAAGTCCATACAAGGTCTAGGGTCTAAGAAAATGTTCTAAGAAATATAAAGACCTAAGGATATAAAAGCTTAAGTAAGTTCCTAGGGTCTTAAAAAAAAAAACGATTTAAGATGTATAAATGCAAGTTGTAAAGGTATGAAAATTATGTAAGGTATGTACAAATGAAAATGTTTTAGATTTCTCCCCTTCTGTGCTATTATTACATGAAGATTTCAAAGGTTCAGAGTTTTAACATCAATCAATGGAGTTTTGATAAGCTGGTAGAGCACTGACTGCTTACTATTCAGTCGTAAGCTCAAGATTTTAAATTTCCTTTAGTTGCATTCTAAATATAAACTTAAAGATATTTCTCATTGTGCTAAAAACATAGTCCAGTGCTCTGGACAGAGAAAAAAAGTTCATGCTTTTTAACCCAAAGCTATAGTTTTTGGTGAGACTGACAGGCATAAGTCCACCCCAGCTAGTTTACAGTGTAAATTTCAATCAGATTGTGATATGCTTAGGACACTTATCTCTTTCTGTACACTAAAAATTCCTGTAAGTTTCAGGGAATCAAAGAAGTCATAAGACTTGGATACACCTGTCACAGGTCAAGGAGGCTCCTGATAAATATAGCCCAAGTTTCCCAACCCATCTTCCTAAAAATGGGATATCTCTCCTGGTCTCGAGGTTCTTCCCCTTTCCCAATTACTAGGACTATGGGCATGAAAATTCCAAATATGAGATTTTCCTTTAATTTCCTAAGTTTTAACTTCTATCCCTAGTCTATATTTGTCTCAGCAAATTTACACTTGACTAATAGACACCATCCAGGGATCATTGAAGGAAGTGAGGGCAGGGACTTGAACAGGGCAAGAACCTGGAGGCAGGTGATGATGCAGAGGGGTGTTGCTTACTGGCTTGCTCCTCATGGCTTGCTCAGCCTGATTTCTTATAGAACCAAGGACCACTAGCCCAGGGATGGCCCCCTCACGTTGGGCTGGGCCCTCCCATCAATCACTAATTAAGAAAATGCCACACAGGTTTGCCTGCAGCCTGGTTTTATGGAGGTATTTTCTCTGTTGAGATTCCCTCCTCTGCAATGACTCTAGCTTATGTCAACTTGACCTAAAATCAGCCAGCTCTGGTGGAAAGGCCCAAGAGGCCTTTGAGTGAGCCAAGATATACATAGAACACTCTAAACAACTGTGTGCCCTAATACCCCCAGTGTCCCTTGCTACTAGAAGTCATAAGAAAACTCGAAGACTATGGTTTTGGCTAATTGCAATGACAATTGGAAGAGACTGTTATGATAGTTTTTTTTTTTTAACTTAGAAAATCTTTTAGTTTACAGATGAGATTTTATTGGTTCTCTTGCTTAAAGGAAAATTAGAAGTGTAATAGTAATAATCAAGGGTAACACTTTTGACTCCAGCAGCAAAAGTAACAATCAGTGGTGAAAGCTACGAAATAACACAGACCACAATACTGATTTTTTTCTCAGGTTAAATTCTTTCAAAAAAGAAAGTACTATTCATGTTAATCAGGGGAGGAAATGCAGAGTGATCTCTTGGGGAAAACATAACCACTAATGACGTATCACATTAAAATCAAAGGACAGAGAACTTTAACCAGCCATACACAGTAGCACAGTGATTTCATGGCTTCAAAATGCCATTTATAAGCAAACAAGTCAACACCCAGGAAAACAAGACTGCCTTTCCCTTGTATTCTTATTAAAGCACAGTCTGTGGACAGTTTGTAATGCTAAAAAGTGTTCAAAGTTTCATTTTTATTTTACAAAAATTGACAACATTTAAATCAACATGATTGTTTTGCATCCATTCAATAACTCAGAGGACAATAATATAAAAATATGAAAAAATTATTCCAGATTCATAATTCCTAGATATGCTAATATCCATATAGCTAGTATAAATTTGATGATTAAAACATATTTTTGTTTCCTTAAAAACATGTAGTTCATTTATTGTTTAATATCAGACAGACACTGGCTACCCTGAAGTACCAAAATAAACACAGATAAAATGGAGATATCTAGACTTTGGGTTTCTTGTTAGGTGGATCCTGAAGATTCAACTTTGGAATTTCACCAGGAGTATATGGGATTCTCTTGGAAGACACCTTTTTGCCAATTGTTTCAATCTGGAAGCCAATGGTCTGCAGTTCATTGTGGAGGCCATCCAGGACGCGTCGTCCATCAAAGATAAAGGCTGGTTTCAGCATTTTTTTTTTGTGAATCCGTTCATAATCCAGCTCCTTAAACCTGTCCCATTCAGTGCAGATAACAAGGGCATGGACGCCATCACACGCTTTCACATGGATCCTTGGAAATGCTCACCAGTCTGGACAGTGGATCATCCACTGAAACTCCTGGATGAGAAAGATCCACAACTAATTGTTCCCTGGGTACTTTGGGATCATATATATGGAGGTGTGTACCTTCATCCATCAGGTATTTGCTAATATAGACAATGGAGGACTCTCTGGTGTCACCAGTGTCCTTTTTGAATGCAAACCCCAAGATAGCTATCTCCTTATCAGTCACTGTATTAAACAGGCGGTCTATGATCCTCGAAGCAAATCTCCTCCTCTGGTAGTCATTCATATCTATGACCTGCTGCCAGTAACGAGCTACTTCTAGAAGATTCAGAGCCTCACAGAGATACACCAAATTCAGAACATCTTTTTGGAAGCAGCTCCCACCAAAACTGACGCTGGCTTTTAGGAATTTATTTCCAATTCTTTGGTCCATCCCAATAGCTGTTGCCACCTCTTCCAGATCAGCTCCTGTTGCTTCACACAGAGCACTGATGGAGTTAATGCTGATGATCCTCTGGGCATTAAAAGCATTTGCTGACATTTTGGAAAGCTCTGAGGACCACGTGTTGGTGGTGAGGATCTTCTCCTTGGGAACCCAGAGCTCATACACAGTACAGAGTGCCCGCACAGCTTTCTGGCCCTCCGGGGTTTTATTCCCTCCAATCAGGACTCTGTCTGGGTTCTTTAGGTCCTTGATGGCTGTCCCCTCTGCCAAGAACTCAGGGTTGGACAGTACCTGCAAATTCAAGTTGGGCTTTGTGTTGGCATCAAATATACGGCGGATGCTCTCTGCTGCCCTCACAGGGACTGCTTTTCTCAGTCACGATTTTGTACCCATTTGAGTTTTGCACAATGGGTGGAGCACAAGCTTCAATGTACTTCAGATCTGCTGCCCGGCCTTTCCCCATCCCATAGGTTTTTGTTGGTGTGTTTACAGAAATAAATACTAGATCAGCTTCTCTGATGGCATCATTAATATTGGTAGAAAAAAAAAAAACAACAACAGATTTTTCCCTCGACAGGATTCTACCACTTCCTTTAATCCAGGCTAGAGAAGGGGAAAAGGAAAAGGAGTTAACACACAGATAGTATTATCCAGTCCGGAGACGAACAGCAACAGAATCACTTTTGTTAAGGGGAAGGTTGTGCTACAATTTAAAGGTCTAGGTTTCCAAGTAACATCTTTTAGAATAGCTGAGGATTGCTGGGCATGGCAGTGCACC